TACTTTCCTTTGAAAGTTGTCGGGTAGTGGGTCTTACAACCAACTTCTTACAAACAAGGATGTCTAGGGGTTTTGAATTTGATTGTTTGAATAGACAGTAGTTGCATGTATAATATTTGGAGATTTATTTTGTACTTGTTTGAGCTGATTTGAGTTTATGATTTTGACACTTTGGGGTTCTGACACTGTTGTCAGTGTTTTAATTGTTTTGTGTTTGTAGTCTTTTTTCCACTACAATAGTCCACTACTCTACTCATTTTTTGGCATTGCAAATTTACTAGTTTTTAGTACTTAGTTTTCCTTGCTTTCTAGTATTTTGTCTTACTAGAAACTAGATTTATCATTCTCTCGCATTTTAAATTTTTTTATTTATGATATACTACTATTTGTTTATTTTGTTTGTAGGTACGTGATACTTGCAGCGGTTTAGGGAGCTCACAGATAGTTACATGAGTCACTGTAGAGTGTTGAGAGTTTCAATTTGTATTGTGTGTGTTGATTGTTGAGTTTATAAAATTTTGCTGAGTTCAGAGTTGTTGTTTGGAGAGTAGTGGTGTTGAGTTGAGAATTTTACATTTGTTGTGAGATTTGTAGTTTGTGGAGTTTGGAGAGCATTTTGTATAAGATTTTGGAGAGTAGTACATATTGATTAGTGGATCTCTCCTCTTCCTCCATTTTTTTATTTTTTTATTTATTTTTTATTTTTTTAATTACTCATTTGATTAATTAAATATGCTCTCGACTTTTAACTCATATTTTAAATTGCTTTTATATTTAAATTACTTTAGATTTTTAAAACTCTCGGATTTATAAAAGCTCTTGTATTTTAAATACTCTCCTATTTTAAATAGCTCATAGATTTACATAATTAACCTTAATCAATTAATTATTTCAATTAATGAATTAATTAATAATTAATTGATTAATTAAAATCAAATTAAATTACTCTCCAATTACTCCAAAAAAAGAATTTCAACAAATTTCATGAAAATTCGGCAGCTTCCCAGCGTCCCCTCCTCATCGAGGGAGAAATCGAGATGACATTTGTCAAGATTTCTTCCTATCCGAACCTAAGGTCATCGGTGTAGGATTTCGATTTGGAACCATCCCAGCCGTATCGATTTGGAACCATCCCGGCCGTATCTAAGATACGACGGCCCGGGTTTTTCAATTTTTAAACCATCCGCCCGCGATCTTCAAATTTTAAAATCATCCACCAGATCTAAGATCGATAGCGCGAGTCTTTGACAAATGTATAAAAATGTTTCTTTCTATTTTATTTATCATTATTATTATTATTTTATTTTATTTCATTATATAGAGGGAGAGGGGTCTAATAGAGGATGTTTGGCTTCAGATAGGATCGTTGTTGATGTAGCACAATCGAACAATAACAAAGTAGCCAAAGAAATGACTTGTGTAATCTCTATACCTCCCGCAAAGCAATGAATTCGAACAACAATAAAGGGGCTGAAGAAAACCCGTAGAATCTCCTGTAAAGCAAGGAAGTCGGACAACAAAGAAGGAGCTGAAGAGGCAACTCGTGAGATCCCTACACCTCCTATGAACCGAAGCCAAACAACAATGAAGGAGCTGAAGTCGGACAACAACAAAGGCTCGAAAGAAGCGACTCGTGCGATCTCCACACCTCCTGCGAAGCAACAATCAAGGGGTCGAAGGAGCGGAGCGTGTGGAGGTGTCGAATCGGTCAAGCGGTAGGGCTTCGGGCTCGATCAGTCGTGGATAGTGACTGAAGCGTAGAGTGCTTCAGACGAACAGAGAGACAAGCAAAGGAGTTCGAATGTCTACCCCATTGCTCTTTGCCTGTCTCTTTTAAGAGATGAGCGGGCGGTTACTGTGCTTTTTTGAACGAATAGTCGTTTCGTTTGGCAACAAATCGTGTGAGGTGGGGCCGGCTTCGAAGGAAAGTATGTATGTTCTATTATTATTATTATTATTTTCAATAAAAAATAGTTAAATAATGAATTTTTTTTTACATAGTTGATTGACCCACAAAACTCCTTTGGAGTCCTCTCACCGCCTCAAAAAAAAAAAAAAAAAAAATAATAATAATAAAAAAAAAAAAAAAAAAAAAAATTAATGATTTGGGTCTTTGACATTATTTTGATGCATTCTCTACTTTTGAGTGAGGGGCATCCATTGTACTTTAATATTATATCTAGAGAAACAATTTTAATGAGGCTATATTCTATGTTTTTTTTTTTTTGAGTTTCAATGAAAAAAAGAAGAAGAAAGTATTCCATTTTACTTTTCAAATAAATGCAAATTATCATTCAAATCTAAGGATATATGCATGTGCATGTTGGCATGACTTATAATTTGTAATATTTATGGGGAATATATTCTAATTGCCTAATTATTTATAATATTTTAACATTGAATAGGCATGCTACACTTAACATTGAGGCACCTCACTCTTAACTCTCATTGGTCATGGAACAAGTTTTTAAATTAGATACATCGCAATGAAGCTGCTATCCTACCTTTTTAAAACACAATACACTTGTAGGAATTTTGTTGGTGAGGGTGCTTCGAGTAATCATTCATAAGATGTTTGTATTTTATTCATTGTGGAGTCTCAACATAAGATTAATGTAACATCTGGTGGTGGGATAAATGAAGTGAGAATAGTGAGGGCTTATTGATTATGGTGTCACTTGGATGTGGAGGGATTATTTGGGAGTGACTCTTTATGGAGCGCATGGAAGGTTTTATATGTGGAGGAAATGTATTATGGTGACTTTGAAGAGGGAAGACATGATACCTGAGAGATCCTAATAAGGATTTGTCTTGCAAGGAGGATTGAAGGTTTTGGAAAATGCTTTTAAAGTTGGAGGAGAATATGTGATGAGAATTTTGAAGGTAGAGGAGGATATTGGGTCGTATTAATGTGCTTAAATAAAGAGCAATTAGTTCTTAGGATGCAGATGAAAAGTGGGATTTTGTTTTCAGATTTGGTGAAGGTCTTCATGAAGTATGAGAGATTTCATATCAAGATTGTTTAAACCTATAAAGATTCATAAAAATTATAATGAAAGATTTAATTTTTTAATGAAATAAAATCTTATATATAGATAATGATGTTGAATCTCCAAAAGGAGCATTATTCCAAAGGTCAATTATGTATTGAGTGATACCCAATAATTCCCTCGACAAAAAATAATATTGTATTACAAATGTATTTAGCCAAGCTTTCGAAGGATTTTATCACCATTTCTCAATATGAATGCATGGTGATGCCCAATAAAATTCTTGATAAAAAATAAATATTATGTTCCAAACCTATTTAGGCAAGTTGTCAAAAGATTTTAACATCAAAGTGTTTCTTAGTATGAATGAATGAGCTCAAAGGGGTTTTGGGTATAAGTAAGGAATTATGAAATAAGATAAATTATACTTGATAAATATTTAATGGATCAATCATCCTAGGTCACATAATCTAAATCTAATTAGCAATGAAGATATTCGACCTAACTTAGCTAATGATTCATTGTCAATAACAAAGTACAACACCATCTAAAGATAATTCCTAGACTCAAATCCAAATAGAGGATATATAATACTTGGTTTTAATAAAGTAGATGAGAAGGAAATATAAGACTTACATTTCTTAGATAATAAGGATTTGTCTATGAAGAAGAAAGATGGGGACATTCTAACCATCTGAGTTCAATTATCCAAACTAGACTTACAATCTCATAAACATCAAGTTTGTCACTGAATTGTCTAAGTCATTCTAAATCTTCACCTAAGTGAGTATAATTAGATCATGAATACAACTATGACTTTATTTGAAACGACTTTCTTGCTGCTTCTTAAAGCAGTTTTCTTGTACAAATATTTTAATTTTGTACTGAAATGCTGCTTTAAAAAGCAACAAAAAGCTGTCTCAAACGAAGCCTAAGTATAACCAAGCAATCATTCTCTATGAGATATGAATGATACAAAACTAAGCCATTAAGTGAGAAGACTTTATTATGATACGTGAGAGTTTAAGTTATGCTATCTTATGTAAATCATCCTTAGTTCATTATTTGTATCTAATTCTCCGTTGTGAAAATATATAGACAACATCACATATTACCTATATTTTCACATAAATATAAGAAGACCATATCCATTTATTTGCAAAGACCATGTGATAATGATCTATTTTTTATGATGGTAAGTTTGTATAAGACTAATTTAGATTTATTTTCATTTTAGAAAGCTTTATGTAAAGTATACATTCTTTAGAGACTAGCATTGCCAATAAGTTTGAGACAAATACCTCATCATTAAAAAAACTCATAAAATCATCTAAGTGTAGTAAACAATAAAAAATAAAAGAATATGATTGTCTTAATGTAGCTGATTTCTATGATACACTCCACTAAAAAGAAATATATAAGTAATTGTGCTTATATATAAATAAAGATTAGTCGTAGTTCATCACAAATATCAAAATATGCATCTAAGATATAAGATATGAATCCGTGCTACTCCTACTTCTTGTCTTTTTTTTTTGGATATTTAGACATCACATACACAAACTTCAAATCAAAGACATCTTGGTTGATAGTCAAAGCTTATAACTAACAGATCATGATGTACTTCTTATCTAATTTGGTGATGTTCTGAATGTACTTGATGGTCTGTTGGTTAGACTATTAACGAAGAGTTATTAAATTGTATGAATTTACTTTAACGAGTCGAATGTGTAAAAAAAAACTTGCTAAGTTGTACTTATTCAGCCGCGATTACACTTTATTTAGTACAGCACATTTTTAATTCCTTGGATTTGCTTTAAAAATTGGTCCAGTTAGATCTTAGATATCCTCTAGCAAATCCAATGCTATCAAAGTCTTTCGTAATTATATTTCGCGCATCACCGCACGTAAGATATTTCTCTTCCACGAGCTACCGACTCTCGAAAATTCACGTGGCAACAGAACTGCCTAGAGTTCTTAGGCAATATGGTCATTTCACCGTCGGAGAGATAATTTCCAGCGCACGAAAACTTGGACGGGGCACATAATTTCCCAAACTGCCGCTTTCGAAGTTGGAATTTCCAACGATGGCTTCTTCACCGGTGGCCGGGAAAACCATGCGGGCCGTTCAGTACGGCGGTTATGGCGGTGGTTTTGCGGCATTAAAGGTAAGAATAGCCTCTTCAACGGTTCATTTGGAATCTGCTTTGATTTGTTTTCTGTAAAACTGTTCCCTGTGGCTTATTAGGTTATTTTTTTGGGAAAATTTTGGGGCTAAGACCGATTTATAAAAGATGAAAAATGGTTACATCAGAGAATAAAAGCCAAAAAAAAAACAAAAAAAAAACTAGAAAACAAGAAACAGAATAAGAGGGGAACCAACAGAAATCAACAAACTACAAAATTCAGAACAGATTAGAGAAGGGAAAGGGAGCAGAAGGATTGGACTTAGTTTATACAAAGCCAACCTTCATAATTCCTTTGATACCTGAATGAAGCTTTTGAACAAAGCTTATTAGGTTATTGCTCGATAGAAAGGGATACGCAAGATTGGGGAGGTCTTTACGAATTGTATTGTATGTTTGTGCTTTTGTTATTTGTGGTTGTACTTACTTTGGGAAGTTACAAAGGCTGTTTGGCTACGAGCAGGATTTAATTCAGTCAGGATTTTGTAAGGTCTGTAAATCCGGATGTAGTAAATCTTGAGGGTTTTTAATGCTGAAAACTGTCTGGCATGAAAATTGTTAAATCGGGGTAAATCCTAATAAATTGTTCGGACATTTGTTTGACGATTTAAAGTTTAAATGAAAAGAAGAACAGATCGAGGCAAAAGGGGAGGATATGATCCAGATCTGAATCCTCCATGAAGACGGTGATGATGATCACATGATGTGATTGAGGATATCCCAGGTGAATTGCTCGCTTCAAGGGGGTCTCGACGGTTTGCGTTCGTAACCACTTGGGGGCTGGCATTTTGAGTCAATGAAGGCGTCAATTGTGCCATTTGTCATCTATAAAGGCTTTGGCGGTGCCCTTGTTGTCTAAGACCTTTATCATAAGTAATCCTTGATGTCTACTCACGCTCATGAGTTTAATACTTTAATCTCCTTAAATTAATAATTTATTAAATTTCGTTAAATCTCCAAACGAGTCTATAAATGAGATTTAACATAACAATATGATTTAATAATAAAAGTGCTGTCAGGATTTAGCTCAAATATTGACTAAACCTCGCCTAAATCTACCAAATGGCCTTGTATTGTTTGCATATTGAAAGCTTATTGCTTGATATCAAGAAGTTAGAAGAAAGAAGGTATTCTTAGACGGTTCTCATGTGATTGGATTGAGTGATTGTATTAGAATTTGCTTTTTTGATAAAAGCATGGTAAATATGTTTGGATTATTATTATTACTGTTGCAGACTAGAATATACGCGGCGATAGAGTTAGAAAGTGTTCGTCTCAGCGTTGTATGGATATTCAGTACACAAATAGAAGATGAAAGAACACTAGGATTTTTACGTGGAAAATCTTGTAAAGGGAAAAAACCACGGGGCCATGCCCAGTTGAAAGAATTTCACTAGTGTTTGCTTGAGATATAACAGGCTGACTCATCCTTAAATTTTAAGATGATCAAATTACAATGATTCATTTCCGGATTGAAATCCAGTTACAAACAAGTTGTGTATTCGAGATGAATTCAGAATCACTTGAAGATTAGACAGAATTCCGGCGTCACTTGGAGATCAGGCAGAGTTTCGGCGTCATTGGAAAGTCGGACGGAATTCCAGCGTCACTTGGAAGTCGTGCAGAATTCCGGCGTTACTTGAAAGTCGGGCAGAATTCAGACGTCACTTGGGCAGAATTCCGACGTCCCGTGGAAGTCGGGAGAGTTCCGACGTCCCATGGAAGTCGGGCAGAATCCCGGCGGTGTCGAGGAGGAGTTTCTTCCCTCCTTCCCTTAGATTCTTCTTCTTCTCTTCTTCTTCTCCTCTTCTTCTTGCTTGGGTCCCCTCTTAAGAGAAATGAGGGGTTATTTATAGTTTTTTGAGGATGGCATGCCCCGTAAATAGGAGGAGGATCAAGGGCAAAGGAGGAGTGGTTCGGATGGACGGCCAATTTTGAATCCCTTGATCGTGGACAGTTTGTCAGACATTTGAAGGTTTTAACGATATCGGAATTCGGCGATCTTGGGCTCGTTGGATTCGTCCTATAAGCATGTCATGTCTGGAAACCGTTTGGTAATCCAAATTGTGGTTTGAACCTTCCAACAGCGCTTCGGGTATTCGATTCGGCCACATTTGGACTCAGATTGAGTTGAATTTGGTGTCGTTGGGTTTGTATTTTCGAGACGCTCAGTTCGACTGTAAGTTTACTGAAATCGGAGTTCAGATGATCCCGGATTTAATTTTTGAAGTTTCTTGCTTAGCCTCGAGATTCGTGCCCGATCAAGATAATTTTTTGATGATATATCAATTACTATTATCTTTTTCTTTTTTAATGAAGCCTAAACTACAACAGAGTTTCATCAAGCACATTTTTAAAAAAGAATTGATGCTTTATTTTAAATATGCATTCCCTTAGAACGAATGACATGATTTCTTCCCAACTTTAAAGCATTCTTTCTGTCATCGTGAATTGAAATAGAGTTTTAATTTTTTTTTAATCGACTTAGACTCGTAACTTAAACCCAACGCACTCTCTCTATTTCATTTAAATAGAGTGAAGTTGAATGCTTGTTATACTATGGTATAGCTATTAAGACCATCAAACAAACATAATCAGAATAGAACTTTAGTACATCCAAATAACCACCTAAGTCGTCTTTGGGAAAGCCAGTCAAGTAATTTTGAACATCTAACTTGAAAAATAAATGCTATAAGAGCCCATATATTTTAGTATTCTCTTGGCACAATCTAGACTTGTTTCTCTAGTGATTGCATGGCCGACTATTATACCCATTGTTAAATAGTGAAATAGACTAATAGGAGCGTTAAATTGTTGATGATTATAAAGAATCTTCTTTTCTTCACATTGATGTTTGAAATTGACATCAAAAGGAGTGGAACAAATCTTACCTTCACTGATATTGATTTTTCAACAATCATTTAGTACAACCTATTTCAGATAGAAGAACTCCTTGTTATTCTTGTCTACCTCCCGTCCAAGAAAATGAATTTTGATCAAGAATGTCATTCCAAAGTGAATATAGAGTTTAGATCAAAGCTTAGAAATCTCTACATTATCATTGTTGCATGGATGAAATTATTGTTTCATATATTCAAAAGAATATACTTCTTTTTAAAAAATGAAAAAAAAGCTACTGATTTAGGTGTGGGAATTTAATTATGTATTCAAATTCAATGAGTGAATTTCTAGGGACTTAAGGCTAGTAAGTTACTCTTGTGTGGGAGGTGTATATACATGTACTTTTGAATTCCATCATTTTATCCTCCTAGGAGTCATCATTCTCCTCTCATTTTGATTTCAGTGTCATAATCTTTAAATAGTAAATCAGAACAGTACTTTTCTTTAACATCATTAAAATTAGTGATATACAATGTCTTCAAGGATTTTTATGATTATATAATCAGTAATTATAATTTAGAAGCATCAAAGTTTTCTCAATGATGACTTTGATTTCATAAGAAAATAATTAGGATTTCAAAGTGTAGAGGTTTTTAAATGATATGGAATTCAATACATGGGTCGTTGATGTTATCTTGTACTTAGCTAGTACTTGACTTTTAAGAGGGCCTATGTATACCATCTAATCATCCATGTAATTTTCACTTGCATAAAATCTCTTATTCTCACAGAACTCATCTACATATTCTTGTTTTCCTGAGCATTTACTTGGGCAGCAGATAATTGGAGTAGCATGGGTCTGGAGCTTTGAGAATGTTGCTTCCTCAAGCTATAGGTCGACACAATCCTTATGCATCTAGCTTCCCTTTAGAATTGCTTAACCACTAAATACAAAATCCTTGAGCTGGTACCAAGTTTTTTCTTATGAAGCAAAAGTCTACTGGAACGCTGCTTTGAAGCAGCTCCTTCTTCAGTTAGATATGTTCGTGTGCCTCTTAATCCTTGAGCCTTGATCTTTGGTGAAGTACTGATATGCAATTCGCTTATCAATGACGCAAACTTCCATTGAGGGCTAACTTGGTTAGGGCACTTGTTTTCAATAGCCGTGTCAGTCTGAACTTCTGGCATCGCAGCCTGTGCAAAACGATGCATGCACCTATTTGAGTCATTGTGGATATATTACAGACGGTGATGAGAGACAAAAATGTTTCTACAGTTGACAAAGTATTTGTGGTGAGGATCATTGATAACAGTCTGGCTTATGGGCCTAAGGGGTCCCTTATATTTTCTCTCTTGCACTTCTTTCTGAAAATTGTGAATCTGTTAAAATTCTTATTGTTGCTGTAATAACAATATTAGACTGGTTGGCAGAAAATGATATTATTTATAAACGCATTGCAATATGACTTTTCAGAATTTAAGCTTTCTTTTTAATTTTCTTTGTTATAAAATTTTGATCTCCATTGTGAAACGTCATAAGATGGCCATATTTTTATTTAAAGGCTTCAAAATTTAGGGCTTGATTACAGCTATGCATTTATGATTGTATCTATTAATTCAATTTTGAGCTGCAGGAGGTCATACAAGTCGAGCTAGGAACTATAGCAGGTCGACTGACATGCCCCTTTAGCTGAGAGCTTCCAAGCCATTGCTACTGCTTGCACCTTAGATGTTTTAAAGCTTGGCCTGGGGCACATTTCTAGTTTAGATGATAGTAACTAACTGGTGCCGTGTTAGCATAACTAGCCAATACCAAATTCAGCATTGGAAAAAGCCTGTCGCAATTGCTTCAGGGGACAGTATGAACTTGTAGACATGTGAAGGGCCTGCATAAGTAATTGCTTCAGAGGATGGTGGGTACTTGTAGGCATCTAAAGGACCTGCATAAGTTATTCTGGCAACAACTCTGCCCAAAATGGAGCCAAAATTAACAATGAAAATAAATAAATAAATAAAACGATTTCCTTAGGGGACCTGGCCACTCTTCTGAATCTTCCTGTACTAATAAACCTTTTTGGCATATTTCATTATGGTGAATGTTGTGTTTGATGGTTAACCTCCCACTTACCCCTCTCCCAATTTTCTATGTGTTTTGTTTCATATTACTGGCATTGGAAAGGAAACACACATTTATTGTGTGTTCCAGATTTATAGAAATAATTAGGTTTATTTATATAAATTAAAATTTTAGCCGTGGTGGCCTTCTGTTGGTTTTGTTAAATATTTTGGTATTGATCAGCCTACCCATGCAGATTAACTTCAACAATGACTCAATTAATTCTTGATTGCAGCATGTAGAGGTCCCAATTCCTTCACCAAAGAAAGATGAGGTCTTGCTTAAACTGGAGGCGGCTAGCATAAATCCTGTTGATTGGAAGATACAGAAAGGGGCTATTCGACCATTCCTTCCGGCCAAATTTCCATTCATACCAGGTAAAAGATATCTTTCTGCCAAATTTCCATCAGTGAAGCATGTCATATTCAGGGAAGAAATTGATCTTAAGATAAATTTCCTTTATATGAAAACTATTAAATTATGTTAAGATACACTTATGATTGTTCTGTAATCAAGTCAACAATGCTGCAAGTTGTATTTGAGTTTTTTTTCCCTGGAGGTCATGTTCAAACTTTTTTTTTTCAAAAGTTATATCAGTATAAAAATATGCGTAATTGAATCTTCTGGCTGAGCTTAGTTTTTGGCCATCAAGGACCGGATTTAGGCTGCTTGCTTTAGTGGCGATTTTGTATTTATTGATGATCTTCAATCGGCTTAATGATCACCGGCTTAATGGATCTGGTTTAGAACCGGTACAAGGCTTGATTTACTTGATCTGGGCAAACTTGGGTGTATAATTGTGGCTCCTCCTCTTCTATTAACGTTGTTCCTGATTAGATTTGCCTGCAAGCCTTCATTGCTGTGTTGTCCTTGCTTCATGTCCCTCATATTGATTATTATCAGATCTCCTCATCTATACCATCATCTGCTACGTAAGGGCTTCTTGTCCTTAAATTGATAGCCCCAATACTTATTTTTTTTTAAATACTTCATTCATTTATGCAACTGAAGGAATCTTCGTTTGTATATTCACATGCCCCATTCCAATATTTTGTTATTTACCCTTCCAGCTGGATAAAAAATCTTCTCAACTTAACACAGGATGGACTTTACCCCACAAGAGATTATTCTGTGTGGACACCGGATGGGAAGAACCGTCTGGTTTTGTATTTGTGAACAGCAAAAGCGTAGTATACTGTTCATAGAGACAAACCGAACGGTTCTCCCATCCGACATCCACACAGAATAATTCATACTACCCCACAGAATCGTCTTTAAAGCGTCCACCTTTTTTTTTCATGAACACCATCTCTTAGTTAATGCTTTTGCTAGAAACTTTACAGAACATTTAATTAAGCTTTACATGTCTAAAGTCAAATCTTGATCTACGATCCTCACTATACTCTCTTTCTATGTTACTGTCTATCTAATAATTTAATTTGCCAAACGAATCTACACCTAACTCAGAAACCACTCTTGTGGAACAGTGAGTGATGTTGCAGGAGAGATTACTGATGTGGGCTCTGCAGTCAAGGATTTCAAAGCCGGTGACAAAGTTGTATCCATGCTTTCCGTAAAGGTTCACCTCGATTTTTTTTATTTGTTTCCTCATCCATATGTCCAAAAAGTGTAATTACCTCTTTAGCGTTTTAAACATATTGCTCATTGACAGAACGGTGGTGGGCTAGCCGAGTATGCTGTAGCCTCATCAAACCTAACCGTGCACAGACCGCCTGAAGTATCCGCAGCCGACGGGTCAGGCTTGCCCATTGCTGCATCCACTGCTCTCCAAGCGCTCAAATCTGGTGGAGCCAAGTTTGATGGCACTGGAAAGCCTCTGAATGTACTCATCACTGCGGCATCCGGCGGCGTCGGTTCGTATGCGGTGCAGCTTGCAAAACTCATTGATCTCCATGTAACCGCAACCTGCGGTGCACGAAACATAGAACTTGTGAAGAGCCTAGGCGCTGATGAGGTGCTTGACTACAAGAGCCCAGATGGCGCTAAACTGAAGAGCCCCTCAGGCAAGAAATATGATGCTGTGGTACATTGCACGGTTGGTATCGACTGGTCCACATTTGAGCCAAATCTGAGTGATAATGGGAAGGTTATAGACATCACTCCCTCTCCTACCACCTTTCTGAATTCTGCTATTAAGAAGCTAACCTTTGCTAAGAAGAAGATAGTGCCACTGTTTGCTTCGCCGAACAAGGAGGAATTGGAGTTTCTTGTAGGGTTGGTGAAGGAGGGGAAGCTGAAGACAGTGGTGGACTCCAAGTACCCATTGAGCAAGGCAGAGGAGGCCTGGGCTAAAAGCATAGATGGGCATGCCACTGGTAAGATTATCGTTGAGATTTGAGAAGATGAAATGCTCATCCTTCGTGTGTGTGCTTGTTTATATAAAATGGTACTTGTAAATTTAATAATGTTTCATGTGTTTGTGTGGCATTTGTATGAGCTTATTGTGTGGTGATATCAAAAATATGTTGCAATGAAGAATAATAATGTTTTATATGATGTATCTGTTGGATTTGTTGCTGTTTAGCTAGTAATTACTTGTAAATGACCCGCCGTTGCTTATGTTGGTTGGTGGACGAGTACGGTTGGGAATCTCCCAACATGTGCTTGATTTCTCTCGAGCGGCAGCGCCTTCCTCTTAGGTGGGAGAGATTATTCTATGCGGACATTGGACGGGAGAATCGTACGGTACCAAGCATGGTACACTTTTTGAATGACGTGGCACATGTTTATTGGTCTTTGGACAACGTCCAGACTCCGCACAAAATAATTTGTCCTTAAGTGGGGCCCAATTAACTATGGGCCAGGAGGTTTCTGGGGTGGATGTCTCTTCTAGGTTAGTCGAGGATTATTCACTCCGTCAAGCTCCATTTCAGGGGTGACAGCGGGTGGATATCCTGTTAAAAAAAAAAATTTTACTTGTGAATGGCTTGTTGGATCAGGTAATTTGTCTGCTACTTTAGCATAGGGCTGCAAACGAACCGAGCCGAGTCGAGTATGCGAGTGTTCATGTTTGTGTTCAACTGTTCATTTAATATCAGATTGTTCAAGTTTGGTTCATGTTTGTTCGAGCTTTAGCGTTTGTGTTCATGTTTGGTTCATTTAAATTAAGGATTGTTCATGTTCAGTTCATGTTCGTTCGTTTAGTGTTTATCAAGCTTGTTCGCGAACATATTTAACGAATTTTTTTAACTATCAAACAAACATGTTCATGAACATATCTATGAACAAACACATTTATAATAAAAGCAATTGTTTATATAATAAAGGTAATGATTATTTATATTTATTAATTATATAGTCAAATATTAATTATTTTTATCGAGCTTATTCACGAGTTTAAAATCGAACATGAATTGAGATTTTATTGAGCTTCTTATCGAGCTTAATGTCGAGCTTGTTCACGAACTTCAAATGATGTTGTTCGCGAACATAAATGAGCCGAACGCATTAGTATTCAAGTTTGATTATTTAAGAATCGAGTATTTAAAATATTGTTCAAGTTTGTTTGTTTAGTTAATTAAACGATCACAAACGAGCTTTTAATCGAACCGAACAACGAGAAGCTCGCCGAACATTTGGTTCGCTTGCAGCCTACTAAAAACTCATGCACGCCTTTCTTGGTGTGGTGATATTGAAGATAACGGACAAGGTGTCACCTAACACCGACCATGCATGCCTTTCTTTGTGTGGTGGGCAAATTTAGACTCTCAAAAATTTCTTCTAAACCAAGGAGGTGCCAGGAGGGTGCCGAATTTTTCAATAAATATGAAATATTTTAAAAAAAAATTATTAACTAAAATGCAACTAAACAAAGCTTGTGCTCGTAGAGAATAAAGAAAAATGAGAACATTGAAGTACAACTTGTTGGTTTGAGCGAACAATATTGAACATAAGTAGCGAACTGGACCTAAATTAACATTCTAAAACTAGAATGAAATTAAATAAAATTTGCAAAATCAAAAGAGCTAAGTGAACCTGTGGTAGGCAGAATAAGTTGCCCATGGGCATGAACATAAACTTGTGACAAACTACAGGCACGAGCAAGGAACTTGCAATGTGATAGTTTGCTTGCAGGCGAGAACCGGGAACCTATAATGAATCTATCAACTCACTTATAAGGAAATACAAGGACCTCTTTTGAACAAAGCAGTTCACCTATGAGTAATAAATGACTAATAATAAACACTAAAATTCACCAGTGAGCAGGAGCAGAGAACTCATAGTGCCCACAATAATTAGTCTACAGGCGTGGACAAGGAGCTCGTATTAAACAAACCAACCTATCTATGGATAGTAGGGGGGAACTTCTAATGCACACTACAATTCACCTGTGAGCAAGAGCAGGAAATTGGTAGTGCACACAACTGGCCTCAGGCAGCAATAGGAGATTTATAGCAAATGATGTAACTCACTCATAAGCAAGAGCACAATCTCCTAATACCTATTAAACAAATATCTCCTACGAGCTATGTTGAAAAAATGAACTAAACAACATCTCCCCTCTTTACTACAACAAAAACCTAACTCGTCTTCACACCATCAGATCCGCAACATTTGTATAAGCGGAAAGAATGTGTTTCTAGGCCCCTAAATGAAATTGTCTGTACAATTATTTTTATTTTTACTTTAAAAATCATGTTTGTTTGTATATATTTTAACTATTTTATTTATTTATTTATTTTTAAAAATAAATCAAGCTGTGTTTAACAACATTCAAATTTCAAGGCAAACTTCAAATATTTTAAGTGTTTGAAAAAAGAAATAATAACCATGGTTGCCTACCAAACTTATTTTATTTTATATCAACAAACATAAAAAAAAAAAAATTAAAATGATCTCAAATGGCCCTTTGTTTTTTTTTTTTCTTTTCATTTAATTCAAATTTTATATTGACTATTGCAATCCCCTCAAAATTTTAATAAATTAATTTTAGTAATGATATTTTAGGTAATTTATCCCTCACCGACAACCCTATTTTGTCTAAATAAGATTTTTTTTTTTAATTCATAAAAGTTATATAAGGCACAACTAAAACTTCTAAACTTTATTTAAAGTAGAAAATTATACACAATAGCTATAATTTATATAAATTTATTACTTTAGCATTAATTTTTTTAGTTGCTATTACTATAATAGAGAGAGCATTTTCTGCAATGAAAATTGTCAAACATCAATTGAATAATGAATATATGATGATAGGCTTAACGATTGTCTAGTTGCCTTACATTTAAAAAGATGTGTTTTATTTGATTACCAATAAAGTTATAATATAATATTATAAAATAATTCAAAATAAATTGATAAGCTTGTAATCATTTTTTAATTTATCAATCATATTCAAATATAAAATTTTGGTTTGAATTATGTATTTATTTATTTTTTTAAATATTAACTTATATGAAAATTTTGTCCACCTATGAATTTGAGGCTGGTTCCATCCCTGTTTAACAGGACTGTTGGTTGCTAAAACTTTTTCCATTTGCAAATGTCAAGATATTTCCCTGTTAGAAGCTCTTGGGAAATTTAAACTTCTATGATTCTATCATAGCGTACTATGCCACTGTAGATTATGGTAGGTATTGTTTATTCTCTCTTTCTTTCTGGAGTTTTGTGATCACGGATAACAGGTCTTAGTGCAAGTTTTCAGCAGGATGGGGCAGAAGATTATGATTTCGTTTGGGATCGTTTTTTTTTTGCTTTTTAAAATAATGTTTTAGTACAAATTTTTTTTGAATTTAAAATTTTTGTAATAAAAATTCATTTTAAAAAGCAGTACAAAAACTATACCAAATGAAGCGTATTTCTGATTTGTAATAAATTCTGGAGTAAAACTATACCAAATTTATTGGCTTAATCTACTAGTCGAAAAGACAATAACATCCCATGTAAGTGTTGGATTCATGACAGAATTCTAAATGGACCATTTACTTTATTCAGTCTGTGAAATTGAAAGACAGATTTTTTTCAGAGAGAAGATAACATGGAAAATCTGTGCATGTAATAGTCTCATTTAGAAAGAAAATGAAAGAAAAATCATAAGAAGATCAAATGAAACAAAATTTTGTGTTAAAAAATTAGTCCACTTTACACAGCCGCATGAATTTCTCTAATCGCTTAAGTTAAAATACTGGACATAACACCTATCATATTTACATTCAGGATATAACCCCAAAATATAACACTGAGAAGTGGGTTTTGCCCCTTAGACCCCTATCAACTCAATGCGTAATTGGATTCGCAAGCAGGGGATGATTCTTCAATAGAGCCTAAGTCTTCTGTAGTGATCAGGCTATTTATTCATCTGAAACCTGCCTGATATCTTAAAAACTTGAGGTTTCTCTTAATATCTTGTATTACAGTTTATTCTTTCTCCACTGCACCTTACAGATCTCTCTCTCTCTCTCTCTCTCTCTCTCTCTCTCTCTCTCTCTCTCTCTCTCTCTCATGAGAAATTATTAGGTGCGGATACCGGATGGAGAGAATCATCCAGTTTTCTCTCTGTCTACCGTAAAAGCGCATCTGCTACAGTAAATGCTCTTTAACTGCGCTTTTATTGTAGACAAAGAGAAATCCGGATAATTCTCTCTGTTCGGTGTCTGCGCCTAATAATTTGCCTCTTCTCATAGCTTTTATTTTGTGCATTGATAAGGTAAGAACACGGTCTTGAGAATGTTCCAGACTTTTAACAATTATGAAGCTTTTCATTTATAGTTTAAAAAGAAAAAAATGTCCATATTATCCTAATGAATATTGATTATATGGCTCCTCTCTGCAGCATGTTGAGGTCCCAGTTCCTTCACCAAAGAAAGATGAGGTCTTGCTAAAGCTGGAAGCAGCAAGCTTGAACCCCGTTGATTGGAAAACTCAGAAAGGCAACCTTCGACCACTGTTTCCACCCCGATTTCCATTTATACCAGGTCAAATATTATTCATTCACTGTTACATTTCTATCTTTATAGGCAAGTGCATCATGCCATGTTGTGGGAAAAATCATGGATTAGGAAAATTTCATACTTCTTAAATGGAAATATCTTGCAAGATAGGCTTAACTTCTTATAGTTGCTCAGTTATTATAACTTGGGAATACGATGGTGCAATCATCATTTTTTTCTTCAATGTATATTTGCAAACTCTGTTTTTTTAGTTTCTTGTCTAGCTTAAGTTAGTCATCCTTAAGGCCTTCTAGGTCCCAATGATATTGATACCACAATACTTGTGTTGAAACCCTTCTAGAGACAACTCTGGCTCATCCTATTTTTGCACAAATATGGGGATATTGATTAGAGTCACTAGTTTAGTTATATATATTTTAACCAACTTCCGGTAAAGTTAGTCATAGCACCTTGGTTAAGTATTTTTTTAGCATGATCAACTAGTTTTATTGTGTTTTCTCTTCTCCTCAATCGCATGCAGTTTTAGTTGAGAATCTTCTTAGATTTTCCATCCAACTTTGGTGTAGTCTATTCTTTGCACTATTATATTTCTATAATTGTACTGCTTTAGGGCTGCAAACGAACCGAGCCGAGCCTAGCCAAGTATGCGAGTGTTCATGTTTGTGTTCATTTAATATCAACTTGTTCAAGTTTGGTTCATGTTTGCTCGAGCTTTATTATTTGTGTTCATGTTTGATTCATTTAAATTAATGAGTGTTCATATTCGGTTTATTTTCAGTTCATGTTCTTATCGAGCTTTAAACAAACAAACAGGAACGAGTTATAAACGAGCTTTACTTTCAGATGTTCACTAACTTAACAAATGAGCTTTATCGAGCTTCCTAACAAACGATTACATCGAGCATGTTCGCGAACATATTTAATGATTTTTTAAAACTATCAAACAAACACGTTCATGAACATATCTATGAACAAACACATTTATAATACAAGCAATTGTGTATGTAACATAGGCAATGATTTATAAGCAAATCTCATATTCACATAATTTTCCTAACAACAGCATTAACAAAGGCAATGATTTATAAATAAATAGTCATATAAAGCTATAATTACTTAGACAGCTAATTAAGTAATATCTGATACCTGCAGCAGTCTGAAAGAATGAAAAAGAGAAGCGTTCTAAATCAAATATTATTTATTTTTATCGAGCTTATTCACAAGTTCAAAATCGATCACGAATCGATTTTTTATAGAGCTTCTTATTGAGCTCAATGTCGAGCTTGTTCACGAGTTTCAAATGATGTTGTTCGTGATCATAAATGAGCCGAACGCATTAGTGTTCAAGTTTGTTTATTTAAGAACCGAGTATTTAAAATGTTATTCAAGTTTGTTTGTTTAGTTAATTAAACGATCACAAACGAGATTTAATCGAACCGAACAACGAGTAGCTTGCCGAACGTTTGGTTCGCTTACAGCCCTATACTGCTTACTCTCCTAGCGAACTGTCTTAGTTATAAAATATTTGAAACTTATCATACCTTTTTGGCTGAATTAATCTTCCAGTATTATCATGCTCTTTTGACTGTATTATTTTAATTTGATCATGCTCTTTTGATCAAATTAAAATAGTATAAATAGAATTGCCTTAACTTGATTATAATTAAAATATTTTAATTTTCGAGCAATATGAGACTAAATTAGAGGAGCTTGAAGCTCTATAAAGTGGGATAGAGTAGCAATGGAGTTGCGAATCCCACTGTCAAACTTTTGTGATCTCTTATGGCCTAATAACTTATATGATATCACTTCAACTAATGTTCTAGCATTAGTATTAACTGAAAGATACAACATCAAATTTTTGTCCCACTATATGGGGTCGACTACATGAATCCTTTTTTTTTCGTTGTATCCTTTTAATAGTCAAATTCTCATTTAAATTTAATAAAAGATCAGTTCTAATATTTTCTAGCCAAGACTTTTTATATCTACCTCCATCTTTCTTAACATAAGCTAAATCCACTACATGTACTCTCCTAACCGGGTTATCGAAAAATCGACATTTTATGTGTCCAAACCATTTAAGACAACGAATCTCTCTAATCTTATCTGCTACTAGAGTTACTTCAACCTTTTCACGTATATAAATGATAAATATTTACTCTTATAAATTTGATAAAATTATGTTGGCGATTATTTGATAAAATTATTATTATTATTATTATTTAATTAAAATTTTATCCCCATTGAAAAAATAAGCTGGTTTCGTCCTTGTATGGGTAACCACAATTATTTTACTTTATAGTTTTTTGTTTGCTATTATAAGAGAAAAATCAAAATTGTCTCAAACTATATTAAAGAACCATTTGATTCATCCGCTCTTAAAAGAGGAATCAAAATAGTCCCACCATTAAATTATTTTGATTCCTTTTTAAGGACTTAAGGGATCAAAATGATCCTTCAATATAGTTGAGGATCATTGTTATCCTTCATAAAAAGTTAAGGAATCATTTTAATCATTTTCCTATTACTATAATTTCATTTTTTTTATTGACAAGCTGGGCTGGAATAGAAAGTCATATTTTTCATTTATAACGACCCGCTCTGACTCCCCTTAATATGATCAAAATGAAGAAAATGATAATGATAAAACAAGAGCTTATCTGAATACAACCTGAACAAGAAATTTAAAAAAAAAAAAAAAAGAACTATGGAAGAGTTCAACAAACATCTGTGATTTACTCGAGAAGAAAATTGGAAAATTATGAAAATTTAGAAGAGAAATATAAACAAAATAAGGAATTAAGGCAATCACACGTAACACGCCTGGTAATTTTCTGGTAATTTTCTAAGGTTTCGTTTGAGATGGCTTTCTTTTTGCTTCTTAAAGCAACAATTTTAATTTTTATACTAAAAAACTGCTTTAAGAAGCAGAAAGAAAGCCGTCCCAAATGAAACCCAAAGTTTATGTAGTTTACATTACAAGTTCCTTAGGGCATCTCCAACCGAAACTCTCATTTTTCACTGCAAAATGCAGTAAAATCAAAAAGTGCCGTGATTCATCTCCAGTGGAACGTCATTTTGCCCCAAAATCATTGTCGTTTCTTTCGCGCCTTTTTCAGATGGAGTTCGGTAGAGAGAAAGAAATGGCGAAAGTGAACAGTGCGACGCCAATATTGGCGTAGCACTGTTCATCAGCGACTAAATGCCAACAAAAATGGAGTTCGGTTGGCACGTCTGAGGCTCTCCATTCGCCTGTTTGCCGAACGGCTGGAGAAGGCCTTAGAAGAACCAAATGATATCGCTTGTTGAAGGACAATTTTAGGCATAGCATAGTTTTTTAGCACTTTTGTCAGTTAAAAAATTTAAGAATTCTGCATTGACCTTTTTATGTTCATAAATCTTTAGCATAATTTGACAACGCAGTATTTCATATGTAACTAAGCCAAAGTTTTCACAACCGTTCTCTTATGAGACAGTTACTGATGTCGCTGGAGAGGTTATTGAGGTGGGTTCTGCAGTCAAGAGCTTCAAAGCTGGAGACAAAGTTGTATCCATGCTTATCTTTATGGTGGGCATCATAGACTCTTAACATTTTTCTTTGCTTAGTTTCATTTGTGACGGTTTTCTTACTGCTTTTAAAAGTAGCTTTCAAACACAAAAAATTCAATAAAAATAACAAAAAAATAATGATCAAAAGATGTTCCAAACGAAGCTTTAACTAATTATCTTATCTCCATCTCTGTTTTTCTCTTCTCATTAATAGAAAGGAGGCGGGCTTGCAGAATATGCAGTGGCCTCATCAAGCCTAACAGTTCACAGGCCAGCAGAAGTATCCCCAGCTGAAGGTGCAGGTCTGCCTATAGCTGCTTCCACCGCACTCCAAGCACTGAAATCCGCCGGAGCAAAGTTCGATGGCTCCGCAAAGCCCCTCAATATCCTCATCACCGCCGCCTCTGGCGGCGTAGGCCACTACGCCGTGCAGCTCGCCAAGCTTGCAAACCTCCATGTGACTGCAACCTGCGGCGCTCGGAACATAGACTTGGTGAAGAGCCTAGGTGCAGATGAGGTTCTCGACTACAAGAGCCGAGATGGCGAAATCTTACGTAGTCCATCAGGTAAGAAATATGATGCTGTGATACAGTGTTCGACCGGCGTCGAATGGTCTGTGTTTGAGCCTAATCTGAGTGAAAATGGGAAGGTGGTGGTTGTCACTCCCAATCCCATGACCTTTGTGAAGTCTGCAATGAAGATGCTTACTTGTGCTAAGAAGAAGACTGTGCCAATGGTGCTCATGCCGAAGGAAGAGGATCTGAAGTTTCTGGTTGGGCTGGTGAAAGAAGAAAAGTTGAAGACAGTGGTGGACTCTAGGCATTTACTGAGCAATGCAGAGGATGGATGGGCTAAATGCATGGATGGCCATGCTACAGGCAAGATCATTATAGAGATGTGAGGTGGGTGTGTGTATTTGTTCAAATGGTTGCTGTAAATATTTGATATTTGTGAGAACTTTATGTGGATTTCTTGCATGAAATGATCAAAAAGGATTTTTATTTTTATTTTTTTTTATTTTTTTTAAATGATCAAAAAGGATGATCCTGTGAAAAATGTAAATGTTTGTTTTACAGAATTTTATTTATTTTAAATCGCCATCTCATTTTAATTAGGTTATAAACTTATAATACAATGACCTCCTCCTAGAGATTAATCATTAAATGCTATGTCTAATTATAAATATTGATGTCATTAATAAATAATATATGTGACTGATTATTTTAGCTTTATTTCACAAATATATTATCATAATTAGAGTTAGTGCAGCTATTTTTTAATTACTAAATCTAATATTTTAAATATTATATGAAAATTTTAAAACTATATTTTAATTATACTTTAGGTCAAATTAAAAATTATCTTAATTATCAATTAAGCTTCGTTTGTTTTTTGGTGCTTTTGTAAAAGACAGTTTTAAAAAACATTAGTTCAGAAAATGAAGTTTTATAACGGAGAAGCATATATAAAAAGTTTTCTCAAAACTGCAGAAAAATGAAAAAAAGAGTTATTGAGAACGTGATTTGACGAACAAAACAGCACAAAAAAAAATTCCTCCGTTTCCAAATTTAAAAAATTATTATAATAAAATATGTAATAAAAATATATAATTAATGACTATTGAATATTATTATATTTAAAATTAATATTTTATTTCTTATATAATTTTGGTCAAAACTAAAATTTAGGCATATTTATCTAATTTCAGGCATTTTGGGGAATATTATCACACCTATGGTTTAGAAGTCAATATACCTCAATAACATTAGATGCTACGAAAATCTATTTTATACTCACAAAAGAAAAAAAATTTATAGAAAAGTAACATAAATTATTATGATGATAATAGAAGAAAATAAAAAAATTTATTTCACTAATAAAGTACATACGAGAGTAGAATTGAAAAGTGAAGCAATAATTAGATAAAAGAAACAACAGTAGAAACTAGAAAGATGACAACATAAATTATTTTGTGTGGAGACCGGACGATGAGAACTGTCCAAATTTATTGCGATTTAACTGCCCTTTTATTGTGCTTTTGCAAATATTCAAAATATTCAACAAACGGGCAACAAATATGTAATTATGAATGCACTTTTGCTGCCATTTTGCCTAGTATTTACAAAAGCGTAGCAAAAAATAACAAATATTCAATTGGTAGGATGTTTACTACGCTTTAATTGCCCTTTTGCTGCGCTTTTACAAATACTCAGCATAAATGCATATTTACTGTCATTTTGCTGAGTATTTGCAAAAGCGTAGCAAAAGAACAAGTAAAATGTAATAAATTCGTACGATTTTTGTCGTCCGAGCTCCACACATAATTTCTTAGATGATAGTGGCAAATAGCAATGGTGTCAGCTAAGTGAGCTAACTTATTGCAAGCAATGGGTGGTGGTGGCGATGTGTAGTTGAAAGTGTCAAGTTATTAAGGCTGAGCATAAAAAATCCAGTGGAATGTTGTAATCTTTATCAATTCTAGAATGGAAGTGGGAAGAGATAACCATAGATTTTGTTATAGGCCTTCCTAGGTCAAGACAAGGGCATGATAGTATATGTGTGGTAGTTGACAGACTCACCAAGTCAAAACCCATTTTCTACATATCCGTCAGATTGATTCAACGGAGAAATTAGCCAAATTATTTGTGAGGGGAATCATTAGATTACATGAAATTCCTAAGGCTATTTTACTAAATAAATATGGTCGTTTTACATCTAAGTTATGGAAGGATACACATGCAAGTTTGGGCACAAAATTGAAATTCAACACTGCATTTTATCCACATACAAATGATTAATCAAAAAGGTTGATTCAAGTGTTGGAAGATTTCTTAAGGTTGTGTATTCTGGATTTTGGAGGTAGCTGGAAGGATCACATTTCATTAATAGAATTCACTTATAATAATAGCTACTAATCCAGTATAAAGATGTCTCCCTATGAAGCTTTATATGACAGAAAATACAAAATTCCCTTAAGTTGGTTTAAAGTGGGGGAAAGGCAGATGTTAGGTCCATAGTTGGTAGACCAGGTTACAGAAAAAGTTGGACTAATTAAAGACAGGTTAAAAATAGCTCAAGACTGCAAACATAAATATTATAATTTCAAGCATAAAATGATAGAGTTCGAAGTAGGAGAGTTTGTATTTTTAAATGTGAGACCAATGAAGGGTGTTCCTAGATTTGATCAAGGTGGAAAACTTAATCCTCGTTATATTGAGCCATTTAAGATTATTAAAAGAGTGGAACAAGTAGCTTACATATTAGCTCTACCTACAAATATGCTCAATATACATAATGTTTTCCATATATCAATGTTCAGAAAGTGGATTATCGATGATGGTCAAAAAATTTCTCATGAAGATATTGAACTTCAGAAAGATTTGATATATGTTGAAAAACTTGAAAGGATACTAAAAAGGAATGTTTATGAACTGAGAAACAAAATGATTCTTTTTGTAAAGATAAAATGAAAGCATAAATCATTAAAGCAAGCTACATTGGAAAAGGAGGCAGATTTGAAGCAGAAGTTTTCTCACTTGTTTGAAGATGTATGAAAATTTGAATTTCATGGACAAAATTCTAATGAGGGAAGAATTGTAAGATCCAAAATTTTCAAGTATGTAAAATTTAAAATTTATTTAAACATATTCTAAAACTTATTTTAAAGTTAATGATAATTGGGGTTAAATCAAGCATTTTTAAGTATATTTCTAAAATACATAAAAATAAATATGTTGTATTATTATATACTAACTTACTATTAGTATGTAATGTGTTTATGAAGTGTTGCTTGTGAAGTCGTGCAGTGAGGCAAATTATTCCGTCCGGCGGATCGGATGTCCAAATATCTAATCCAGACGCGTCACGTCACTCGAATATATTGAATTCCAGTATATTTTAGTGACATGACGCGTCTGAATTGATATTCGGATGAATCCGAATAACGGACATAATAATTTGCCGTGCAGTGAAGAGTTTTCGGCTCATGCAAGCAGTAGTTGCACGCCCAGCAGAGAACAGAAAATTTCAGAATTTATGTAGCATGAGGCGGAGTTAGAGAGCAGGTTTCCATGAGTGCAGAATTTGTATTTACTAGAGCAAAATTGGTTTACAGAAATACTTATTAATTTTGCTGTACAAGCCATATTTTGGAATTGTAATTATAGCTATTGTAGAAGCAGTAAAGGAATAGTAAAAAGGTTAAATTGGAGAAATAAGAAAAAAAATTAAGGAAGAGGGAAGCTAAATAATTTTATTATATGCATTATAAGAATTTTCACTTAGTGGAGAAACTCTTAAAGTTGTTGAATCAAATTGTTGCATAAGATTATTGAGTTCATGCAAGAGGGAGGTTACGAAGTAACTTACAATCGTAGACAATTAAGATGAAAGGAAAAAGTGGAAGAAAGTTGATATACAAGTATTGAAGTTTTATGTTAATGTGTATTTTAAATTTGGAAATCAATTCTTAAGGTTAGCAAGAAATGCGATATTGTATTACTTTGAAATTGTTTGAATTTTCTTAGTGGTTATGTACTTAAGTCTTTGATGAAACTTGAGAATTATTAGATGCTTCCTTTGTTATATTAAATGATGTTTATATGATCTTTTATATAGATCTGAAATGAAATGAACTGAATGAGAGGTTAAATGATAGAAATGTTATGGTTATTCTTGTTACACTCTACCGTACTGTTATGGAGTACTGTGGGGTGTTACACAAAGGGCCTCATTCACTACAGAACCAGACCATCTTATTATTTCCTGTATAATTAATTCAAATTGCCGCCTCTATAGCATCAACCCCAGTCTTCACCTATAAATAGGGGAACAAAGGTCAAGCATGCGATAAAAAATCACATAACAAATATCCTCATTCTGAAGTTGAATAATATTCTGTAAACATCAGAGAAAAGGTTCAATCATGGGAAAGATATTTCTAGCTGAGTCAACCTCATAAATAGTCCTTCCATTTGGTATGGATAAGCTTAGCAAATTGTCTAGTCAATCATGAAGCCTCCTGAAATTACTGCACATGGATATCTCCCTCTCAATTTATTGCTACAACTAAAAATTATAAGGCCCCGGGTAAGAATCTATAAAAAATGTGTACTTCATGAGTGCATTCTATCACATTAATATCAAAGATGAAGTGAAATCAAATTACATTAATAACTTCTAGAAGAGAAATTATCACACACAAAATTTTTTATAAAAAAATAAAAACTTTGGAAATATTCGGTAATAAAGCTACCTGTTTCCCTCACAAATTCTAGTGAAGAACATTAGCGCCATTATCAGAATGCTTCAAAGAGAACTTGCTGCATATCAAACCTTGATCAAGTCCTTACACAAATGTGTAGAAAGACGTTTAGTATATAACTGTTGCAGCATTTGATAATAGCGTAACAAAATTAGTATGCCAGCTCTAGAATACATCCAAACAAGGATGACAATGTGGGCGACTATGGTATCATGGAATTTCTGAACGACATGCAATATTTGTATGGTAGGAATTACCATCAATCAAATATCGCCTGGGCTTCAATTATGCTGTGTTGACTGGTTTTAAAAGTTAGAAATAAGTTGTAGTGAATAATAAAATTTGAAAACGGTATGAAAAACTATATCAAAATATAAAGCCTTACTGCTCATCCTTGGTAACACGATAGTATTTCTCAGCATGTTGCCGCTGACCGATCAGCTGAGCAAAACGTTCATCATGGGTGATAACAATTAGCTGAAAATTTTCTTGCCCCTTGCGATCTTCCATAATTCTGACAGAATATGGATTGTAAAGAGATTTTTGGAGCAGAAAATGGCAAAAATTTTGAATTGGGAAAATTTAGGAAAGTACCTCAAGAGGGCCGCAGCAAGACTTTCGGTGTTTGGACCATCCAGGTTAGTAGTAGGTTCATCCAATGCAAGTATTCCACAATTAAGACAAAATGTCTCGGCTAGTGCCAATCTTATAATAAGAGAAGCAAGAACCTGAATACAATCAATATATTGCTTAATTCCACAAAGTAGACTCCCCATTTTTAGGCTTCGTTTGGGACGGCTTTCTTTCTGCTTCTTAAAGCAACTTCCTAGTATAAAAATTTTAATTTTTATACTAAAAAGTTGCTTTAAGAAGCAACAAGAAAGCCATCCCAAATGAAACCTTAAATGCTCATCATATGGCAAGACATCATCTTTCACAAGATATTAAGGGTTGCAGAATTTTCTCCTTCTCACTCACCTTTTGACCAGCACTGCACCTTCCACGCATTTCCAACTCAGCATCACCAGTTTGCATAAGGACCTAAATATATTTTAATTTTATGAAAACTGAAATTAGGAACGTTAATTTGAATGAACTTAAGCTAAATGAGTTCCCAAGGCTTACTCGGTAACTGTAGGATCGAGTTCCAATGCCTTCTGAATCAGAATGTATACTTATGTAATCAATGTCCTGCCCTCGGTAGGTCTGCTGCCATAGCTCTCTAATGATCTTATTTATTTCCTCCATTTTCATGGAGTGAAACCGCATGAGTGCCCTAGTAAAAAATTAGCAATTAAATCAATCACAAAAATTATATAATGATTATGTTCAGAAACGAAGCATTGCAGTGCATGGCTTGAGGACGACATTGATGTTCAGAAGCTTCTAGCAGCACAAGCGATGCTGCTTTAAACTTTTAAAAACACAATAATTTTGCATAAAACTATATAGCTTTAATTCTTTTCTTAAATTACATGAGACAAATCTTTCGTATTGAGACATTTCAAACTATTTAAATGCACACGACTATGCAAACTCGAGTGGCAGCAGTAAAATTCAAGATGCATGTACCATCATAAGGCAGCACACTTTTATGGAGCAATTTCTTGACATGCTAGCAAAACCTTACATTTAGGAAAGTTTTCCTTGTAATAATAGTAAGTGGACCAGGTTTAATTTGGTATCCTTTGGGATAATGTATTTATTTCCTTATTGTAGATAAGAGTTTTATTGAGAGGTTCGATGGAAGAAGTATACAGAGAATGAGGAGGATCTACATATGATTCTTATTGATTTAGAGAAAGAATATGATAAAGTTCCAAGAGAAGTGCTATGGAGAGTTCTACATAAGAAAGGGGTTAATAATGCTTATATTCAAGTCATTAAGGATATGCATGCAGCTCCACTTGTGTTCAAACACAAGGTGGTTTGACCAAATATTTTCCTATTTTAGTGGATTACATCAAGAATCAGCCATAAGCCTATATCTTTTTGCTTTAGTCATGAATGTTCTCACTAGACATTTGCAAGAGGTTGTACCTTGTTGTATGCTTTTTGTTGATGATATTCTTCTTATTGATAAGACTAGAGAGGGAGTTGAAGGTAAAGTTGAATTATGGAGGTCAACCTTAGTACACTGATAAAAATAAAAATTTTATTTTCATTTAGGATGCTAAGAACACTAAAGATAATCATATTCTCACAACCTGCAATAAAAATTAGGCGGTTTTGGGTCAAATTGCGCAGAGGCGCGCCTCAAGGCGGGCCTCTTATTGCGCAATTTTAAACAGAGGTTTTAGATATATTGGGTCTATTGTTCAGAGTGATAGTGAAATAGATGGGGATATTATTAGTAGAATTCAAGTTGAATGGTTGAAGTGGAGGAATGCATCGGGCTTGATATGTGATTGAAAAGTCCCTCTCAAACTTAGGAAAATTTCTATAAGATGGTAGTGAGACCTGCAATGCTTTATGGTACAAAATGTTGGCCATTAAAAGAGAAGCATAATATTAAGTTAAGCGTTGTAGAGATGAGAATGCTCAGGTGGATGAGTGGCTTTACTCTTAAAGACAAGATACGAAATGAGCATATATGTGAAAAGTTTTGAGTAGCTCTAGTAGAAGATAAGATTAGAGAGAGTCGTCTTAGATGGTTTGGTCATATAAAATGGCGACCTTCTGATGACCAGGTGTGGGCTCCGAAAATTCACGCCCCGGCCTCCCCAGCCTTTGGGGGTGGGGGTTTAACGGATTAAGTCCTGAGGTAAATTTTCAGAAGGCATATTGGGTTTGAAATAAGACACTACCCAGATATTTCGCCCTCATTTTGCGAGGACTTTTAAATATGAGTTCTGGTTTCCTATAGGTGCAATCCCCTATAGTTAATTACCCCTTCCAATAATGAGAGTGAACTTTTCATTAAATCCCCCTTATATTAATTTCCTTATTATAAATAAGGGATTTAACAACTAAATAATATAGACAGAAATCTTCAAAATAACAAATAAAGATCATTGACAGTCCAGGCTGCCAAGATTCTTTGGAATGAACCATGTACATGATTACCAAAAAGAAGAGAAAATTGAATTCTTTCATTTAAACTACAAAAATGAAAGAAGCATAGCCTAGCTCAATACCCAAATAAAACGAGATATATGGCATTAAATGAGTAAAACGTTGAGATCTTACTTATCAAGTGCAACGTAGTATCTGTCAAGGTCCTTATTTGCCATTTCTGTGGTCTGCAGCATCACAAGTAAATTTGTAGGCATACTGACAAATGTTTAAAATTTAAAAAACAAGACAAACTCAATCAGCTACCTTGAGTTGGATGAGTTGGTTGAAGTAGCGCTTGTCAATGTCATGGTACTGTGCTTGCTTAAGATCAAGCTTGTTCTTTGATACATTACTTAGGTAAACGGAAATCGTACCTTGACATTTATTCAGCTGTAAAATGTGTTAAAAAGTCATTTTATCAATCAGTTAGATATGCAAGGCATAAAATATTACTGTTCAACCAGCAAAAATTGACAAACCCTGAAACAAACACTACAGTAAAGCCTCTTTCTACGAAGCAGACTAAAACCTGAAAAATCCAAAATAAATAAGCCTAAAAACTACAAGAAAGACAGAAGCAAATTCCGAAAGAAAATGAAATTGTTAAATATTTCAGGGGCAAAGCAGTAGATGACATCTGCAAAGCTCTAACTACCTCAGTTTAGATGCTACATTTGCTTAGCAGTGCATTGCAAATATGAAAAGCTATAACTTGTGATCACTAAAGTTCAAATATGCTACTTAGCATTTCCTTCTTCAAAAGAGAGTTTGATTTTAAGCATCTAAGATGCACTTTCTGTGTTTTCAGTACAAAAGATGATCTGTAGTTGCTCAATTTGGCTAATCTGAATTTGAACTTTTACAACTTATTTGTGAAGATGAACTTATATTTAAACAAGAGTTAGGATTTGCTAAAACCAAATTTGTATATTTTGAATCTAAACCTGCATTAAGAATTGTATTGGAAATTGAAATTAAACGTACTTGAAAATATAAACCAAAACTTTTGAATAAAATTCTTGAATATAAAACTGAGCTTTAATAGAAATTGAATCCATTTTTGACTATGAACCTAAATCAATTATGCCAGCTAACATTTCTAACAAATTATCTCTACAAATCAAACAAAAATTAATTTTATTCTTGGGTTTAGTTCCTTAATTTCCAAACTCAAACAAATTTTGGTGAGAAAATGAAATTTTATGAATATTTCAATGAACTTGTTAATGATTGTCTTAAGGAAAACTTTAACTTTAAAACTTCATTCATTTGGTCAAAATTAAAAGTTCATAAAACATCTCCATTAATATAAAATCATTTGGGATGATTTTCTTTAAGAAAATTGCTTGTAAATGTAAGTATATCATACTTATTTGGCTTATTTGATTTCAAATTTCTTTATCAACTTGTCATTTAAGAATTGGTTATAAATCATTATTCTTCTCCATTAAGACGCATTATTACTTTATAACACTTGCATAATTTACATGATATTTGTAGAAAATTGATTATAAATTATAAAAACTATAAATTTAGAATTGATGTGAATATAAGACATGTGAAATTCAAACTAGATGATAAAATAACTGTACATCCAAATCTTGAGAAACTTCTTCTGGGAACCTTTAATATCGTAATTATAAGAAAGATGAAGTCATATTGATCATGCAATGCATTCAGAAAAATACTTAACAAATGGAAATTCCAAGAAGCTATAGTATTATTCAAGCCTTTAACCTACTTCAAATGCATTGGATTCTTGTCTCTTATCACCTCCTTGCAAATTTCCATCCAACATCTTACCAAACACTTCTACTCACCTATCTCAAAAGCACTATCCTATATGTGGAGATCGTGTCCTTTACTAATAGTGGATAATAAAAATATTTTAAACTTTATGATGACAAACCTACTTGTGGTAATCCGGCGAACACTTTGTAAAAAGCATATTCGTTTTAACTAGATTTGCGTGACAAATATAAAATACATAACTCATTGAAGGCAAATATTTTAAGCTGGGCAAAATGACGCAAATCTAAAAAAAATTATTCATTAAAAATACAAATCATTTAGGCTGATATTATTTTAGTTTTTTGTCTTCATTTCTTTAATTTATACCACTCTAGCCAGGTCCCAAGTTTGAGATAAGAAAAATAGATGTTTCGTTAGGTAGTCGATAACTAGCATAAAACTTCTCGAACAATCATGACATGAATCATTTAATACATTGTGTTAATATTAGGTGTTTATTGGGAGCGATGCATGGCCTAAAAAACAAAAAATATGTAAGGGCTGTTGCACCGATGCCTGGGTACAATATTAAATAAGCAAGTGTTCTCACATCATAGATGGATGTGGGCAAAGAAGCAAGTCCATGAAACAAGAATTATAATAGGAAACTTAGACTATAGGTACTCTTATACAAGTAAATTAATAGAATTAATAGATTTTCTTATTCTTATAAAAATAAATATTCTATATATTCATGAAACTAAATGGGTTGGAAAAAAAGCTAAAGATATTGATAATTTCTGATTTAAACTATGATATTCAAGTAAAAGTGATGAGGACATCAAGCCTTGGAAAGTCTACCAGAAGCGGGGCCGACGATCTACGGCCATGATCGTGCCGATTTATTTTAGAGCCATTTTATGTTTTTTAATTTATTTATGTACTTTTCCAATTTTACCCTCACTGGAGGGAAGAGATGCTTGTAACCCCAAAGGGTACAAGTGTTCTAAGTTCTCCTCCTTAGTCTTGCAGTAAATCAAAATATCATCAAAGAAAACTAACACAAACCTTCGCAGATATGGTTGAAATACAATGTTCATCAGGGATTGGAAAGTAGCTGGAGCACTAGTGAAATCAAAAAGCTTAAATAAAAATCCATAGTGTCCCTCATGAGTCCAAAATATCATTTTAGGAACATCCTCAAGCCTCATTCGGATCTCATGATACCCTAACTTCAGATCAATCATCGAGAAAAAGCACCACTCCAAAAAACTCATTCAGTACTCATCAATCACTAAAATAGGATACTTGTGTGGCACTGTCTCCTTGTTTATCTCTCGATCTCATCCTTCTAGAATTGTGGAAAACGGTACGGACGAATACTGATTTGTGAACCTTTTTCAAGAGGAAAGCATGCTCGTGTTCCTGTGGAGGAGGCAACCTTGAACTAGCTGGAACACCTTAATATTATTGTAGGAGTGGCTGAACCATATATGGTACTTTATCTTCTCTCCATCCTATTCTTCATCCAAGCTCAAAGCTCCTCGAAAAGCCCCACTCCTTCATCCTGGATTTCCCCCACCATGATTTTGAGTGAAACAATAATTTTGGAGAGGCTAGGACCCCCTTTAATAACCACTCTCCTCCCCTCAACCCTGAACTCCATTGTTAGAGCCTTCAAATCAATCTTAGTCTTCCCCAACTTCTGCAACCACTTCATTCTCAGTATCACATATGTGCTCCCTAAATATAATAACAGAAAATCTTCCAATACCTGAACCTCTGGAAGGATTAGGATCATCCCTTCGCAAATTTCTCTACTCCTCTCTACTTTTCCTGTTCCCAACACAACCCCAAAGCCCCCCATGTCCACTAATTTCAGTCCCAACTAATCCACCATTCTATTGGAAATAAAGTTATGAGTAGCTCCACTATCCATCAGCACTACCACCTCCTAATGCTCGATCTTCCCCTTAACATTCATGGTGTGGTTTGATGTGAACCTGACCACTGCGTTAAAGGAAATTTCTGCAACATCTAAGTGCAGGTAATCAACTTCCTCATCTACTTCCTCCTATGCAGCATCTTCCTCTTCATCATAGAATGTTAGGATCATGACAAACGGTTGTTAAAATGGTGACATGGAGCTAATTTCATGTCACACCTAAAGCATAAACCCTTATCCCTCTTCTACTGAATTTCTAACTCAGTCAACATATTGAAGTGCCCACCCGGTCATATTCCCTAACATTTATCCCTCAGAGCTTCCTTCTAAATCAGTACTGTTAACACCTTTGATGCTAGAAATGTATTGGTCATGCGGTAGGACACTCTCGAACTGCTATTATGGCTACTTCTATTTAAAGAGTTCTTTTCCTCCACCAACTGGGCTAACATCATAGCCTCCCCTAAGCCACGTGGTCTCAGTGCTCGAACAACTACACAAATATCAAGCTTGATCACCTTCATAAAGTTCCCCACTAGCATAGTCTTTGACAACCTTCCAAATTGGCTTAATAAGTACTCAAATTTCTCCCGGTACTCAATCACTATCCCCTCCTACACCAGAGCAAAAACCTGTTAATAGAAGTTTCCTTCTTGACTGGTTCAAATATGTTCTAGTAGACAATCTTTGAACTCCCTCCATGATTGAATCGGATCTCCCAAGTCATTCCACTGGTACCAGGACAGAGTGTTCCTCTCCAGACATAGAGCGATTGCGGTGAGTTTTCATGTTCTGTCAACCCATTTACAGCAAAATATCACTCCACCCTATAACAATCGTGAGCATTTTCTCCCTAAAAAAACAACATTTTCAAGTTTCTTGCCCTAGGATCGCCACTGCCCCAATTGCTTCAACCTCCTCCAATGCAGCGGCTGTTGTGATCCCTCCATGTTTCCCTCTCCACCAAATTAGCTCTCCGATCTTCACCATCCCAATTTCTTCGCCAGCCAAACCCTTCACTTGTTGCCCTCCTTGGAAGTGGCTCCAAATTTGGCATCTCCTTTTCTTCCCCCAAAATTTTCATCTCCCGACCCTCCATCATTATCCTCATATTAAGATTTTCCTTACTTTCTTGTCCAATCAATGGTGCCCTTGCCTTCGATAATATTAAAAATGATTATGAGTTAAAGAATTATTATAATAAAATGATAAAAAGAATGGGAAATTATTTCAAAATATTAATAAAGAATCACCTAATATAAAGAAATGAAATAAAATTTCAATCATTTTCAACAATTTTGTACTTTAAAAAATCTTGAATCCTAATATATTTTAAAGTATATTTTATGTTAATATTTATTAAATGAGCTAGTTCACGATCTAGCGAGTCCAGTCGGGGCTAAGCTCAAGCTTGGCTCATTAGCTCATAAAACTCAACTCACAAGCCATTTATTGAGCTGAGCCGGCTCACGAGTCGATTTAACTCACTTACACCCCTAGCAAGGTCGACAATTATTAGGCAAAGGCAGTCGGTGCGTGCGAGACAATAGTGCCACAACGCAGATGTTTGAGCATGTAATAACGCAACGAAACTTGTCAGCTAGAGGGTTAGGTAGTATGCGACTATGGAGATCGTGCAAGCGAAGGCGTGAGAGTCGCCTAAGAGGTCTTGCACAAGCATGGGCATCATTTGGCTGGAAGGAAATCAAGAAGCTCAATGAAAATGAGGAAGAATGTGGGAATGTAATGAATATCGTTAGGTTTAGAATTTTTATTTTTGTAATTATTTAATAATTAAAAAATTCGAACAAAAATGATATAGTCATCCTTTACCTATAGCAGAAGGACATATTATAGTATTACAATATTCAAATTATAAAATATTTTGATTTTTTTATATTATTTGCAATAATTATTTAAAAACTAAATCATAATTTTGAAATTAAACTTAAAACTATTAATAAATTAATAAATGAACATTAATTTTAACTTTATGTTGACTCGCTCAAATTTTCTTCGCTCGAGCATGTCAAATTTTTTCCTGTTTCATATGAGGTGAAATTTTCATTATTTTTCTCATGTGAGTATCTATTAGTGTCCTTTCCTAATAATTTCAACATTCTAGATGCAATGACGTGGTTCATTTTATGAATGAAAGTCATTCGGGTAATTTTGCATAGCATCACAATTGTAGTTTGTCATTATGTGCAAGTGAGGTTTAACACCGCAAACAACACTCCATAAGAACGAATGGAAAATAAGTATTCATAGTCTTAGCCCCAAGTGGTTGAAATAAGGGTTAAGATAAAGATAATGATCACACAAACTGCAACAAGCCAAATCCAAATTATTACAATAAGATAAACTATGCTAATTTTGACTTTAAAACACCTTCAATAAGCATCAAAAGCAGTTCCTCAACATGTACGAAGTTCAATCAACTGCAAAGGCCCTTGTATACTTCATTTTATTCAAATAAAATAAAGAAATACTTCAAAAGTGCAGAGTTATAAAAGGAATGTAGGTAGAACAGACAGGGATGCAGTGTTTCTATACATATAACAATTAATAAAATTAAATTTGCAGAAGGAAAAGAAATTTATTTGTCCAATTGGAATTTTTTAGTATTATTATTAAATATTAATAAATAAAGACTTTCTTAACAGTGCATAAGCTTGTTAGACAAACATGGAAAGTTTAATGAGAGAATGAGCCTAATATCCAATAATACTTCATACGAAATCTAGAAGCTGCCTAACTAAGAAGCATATACCACAACAAAAAATATCAGCCAATCACAAAACATCACAAAACATTAATCACATATGAAAGAAAAATACCTCTGACAGAAGCCTTTCTTTTTCTTTTAGATGTTTTTTAACTTCAGTTTCAATGGCAGAAGTTCCTCCAATGGCTAGTACTTTTTCCTCAAGTAATTCAATCTCACGAGTAAGTTCATCCACTTCCGCCTTTGTTTTTCTGTAATTCAAGTTGTCATCTATGTTTCTTTTTAATTGATCTTGACTAATAAGTACCTCTTTACTCTTGTTTAAATCCGCTAAAATTTCCTGTTTCTTGCTCTCACATTCCTGCAACTGAGACTCAGATAAGAGGAGTTTGTCCTGCAATTCCTTCAGTTTTTCATCCCTCCTTGAGTCCAGGTACCTAATAAGATATTCTAAATTATCAAAACTAAGTTATGACAGATAAATGGCAAGCATGATGACCTTCATAGTTTAAAGGCATACTCTTTGATCCTAGAAGCAAGTTTTAGAAGCATTTCAAATTCCTGTTGAAAATTTCTTTTGTTTTCGGCCAGTTCCTCATATTCCTGATCCAACTTTGTTTTCAAATTTGTGTGTTCCTGAACTGCCTTCTCTTTATCCTTCAACAAGGGAAGAAGAGATTCTGCTAAATGCTGAAAAATAATATAACTTCAGTTAGTCAGAGAAAGCTACAGAAGTCAACAACAAAGGTGTAGGACAAGTTGGAATAGTTCTAATGAGTTTAAAGAATATATGCTCTCATAGTTCTTTTAACTCAAAACTTACTATGTTATAACTAGTCAATGTTTTAAATAAATACAAGAGATTTTAAGTTTAATAAAGAAGAAAATTTTGATATTTCTATATAAAAATAGCAGCAATAAACTTGATGAGATGAGATTACAAAAAAGAATGAACTTTGGAAACACAATGAAAATTAAATTCCTATAGTGGAAACTAGATTAGCCGATGATAGTGAAGATCGCTTCCACAAGCAGTCCCATGCCATGATTATTATCTTTCCTTTCTTGGAAGTCCATCACCTAGGGACATGTCACTCACACTTAAGAGACACTCGAGTGAAAGAAAACACAGGACTAAAAATTCAAAAAACCATTCTTCATTAAAAAATCAAGTGCCTAGCAATACAAGAGACTCAATTTATAGAAATGGGAGGGAGAAACCAAAATATACAAACCTACTTCCAAACTTAATCCTATCACCAAATGCTTACCTACCATCATTATTTTCATAGCTATCATCATTACCACACCTACATCCTTATTATAACTGTTATCATTATCATACCGATCAATAATCCTAATAACAAAAAATCCTCATGGGTCATGATGTCAAAAATGATCCAATACGTATAAGCCCAAAATATCAGATAAAAACATTAACAATAACAAAAAGACTAAAATACATAAAAACAACACTATGCCAGCTCATCATATATAAAAAATACTCATACATAGACACTCATAGGTGAAACATACTGCATCCCAAATACATGAATATAAAATCATAAAATACTAAACTAGTTTAAAAATGGATCCAACATCAAACATTCAAGCTGAAATATAGTTGTAGATATAACAACTCTTATAGTAACAGGTGTTGATCCACATAAAATGACAAGAATAATCCAATTAATCCAAGAAATAACAAAATTTCATTGATATGTTAAACCAGGGCACCATTGGTTGCAAAAAAATAATGGAAGTAAGAAGTAGCCAAAGTAATCGTGATTTCTATAAGTGAATTCACAAATTTTGCACATATTGCACGTGTCAGTAAAGGCAGTCACAGGGGTTGTAATGATAACGAGTTAAAGAAATTTTAATTGCTTAAAAGGTAATGCTATCTTTCGACCACAGTAATCCAAAAATATGTTCCCAAGGAAGAAAATTTTTCAACGCAAGATGAACATTTGTTAAACATCAATATATTTCATTGGATTATAAGTGAAACAAACAAATTTTGAAGAATGGACTATCAACATGAAGCACCAACCAACAATCATTAGTATATAATGGACCGACTGAACTAGTCTAGCCAATACACCCAGCCCTAGCAAGGGAAGCCGGTATAGCTGGCGAGCCGAAGAGCCCTGTGGACCCCACTAGTGTGGACGACAAGAAAGGAGAGAGGGGGCTTAAAGGAGATTAATTCTACTTTAAATTACTTATCATAGAAAACTAAAATTGGGAGGGAGGGAATTAGGAATGTTTGTTTAGGGAAAGAGGGTTTATTTAAATTTAGATTTGGGAGGGAATTAGGAATGTTTATTTAGGATTAATTAAGTTGCTTTATTTTCATTATGTGATTTTCTGTTTTAGAGTAATTATCTTTGAAGTTGTTTCAAGTGCTCCTAGGATTTGTGGAGAGTCGATCTATCTCTCAAATAACAGATTAACTTGTATCTTGGGTTGTTGTGCTGATATCAATAAAATTAGCCCATAATCTCATTCTTTCTCGTTGCTTTCGGCTGTGTTTTCTCTTCTTTATTATTGTTTTTTTGTTGGGTGGAGATCGAATTCCTATCAGATTGCCAGAGAAGAATAACTCCAAAATTGTCAAAATTGATAACATAGAATAGATGGTCTACAAATATATAATTAGCTTTACTTTTTTTTGTTCTTTAAGGTGAACCAACTATACTTATTTTATCTTAAGGCATGTATTAGGTAAACCAGGTCTATCCTATTAACTTGGTTTACCCAAGTAGTATAAATAGGCCCCATTGTAATGAATTAGCATGAATAAAAATTTATGGTTTCCTCTCTTTTCTTCCTCTTAGGAGTCTACACCTACTCTAAAGATGCCTCACTTCATAGCCTCCAAGAAGCATATCAACATCTTATAATTGAAAACCACAAATTGTCAAATTGATATATCCTATATGTCTATTAAATAATATAAATTGAACAGAGGAATGAGATCAACAAAGAAAAAGCCAACTCACTAGATAAATCTATGTTCACACAAGAAAAATGGTGCTAGGAACAAACCCTGCTTTCCACATTTCCCTTAAGGTAGATTGATTTTTAATTAACTAGATTTCTCCCGATGTTCATATTGTGGTTTATTTAGATCCAAGTCCTTCCTATGAGTGCAAGCCCACATAGTTAATTACCCCTCCTACTTCGTAGGAGAGAACTCTCGATTAATGATGATTCACTTTAGCGTAGCTTTGGAATTTTAAGTTTAGTCTTGCTTATGGGGGAATGAGGACAGCCCCGATCAAGATCCTATCTATCAACCGAGGAATACCATAGATCTCAATCTACCAATACTAACAAATCATTATTTGCAACATGCAGAGAATCTGATTAGCGACCATATGTTGCCTCCTCTCAGGGATCCCAAATAGACTGGGTGGTTAGATGTTGTTTTTGGTTATGTTGTTATTTAAGTTTTGGGGCTTATATATGTTAGAATGTCTGTTAATTTGTTTAGTTTGGGGCTTATTGCTCCTCTCAGGAGTTGCCTGATAATTTAGTTTAGGATGAGACTTATGGCTCTGCTTAGGAGTTGCCTGTTAGATTTGTTTAGGATGAGGCTTACAAATCAGCTTAAGAGTTGCCCGATAATTTGATTTGGGATGGGGCTTACTGCTCCACTAAGGAGTTGCCCGATGATTTAGATTTAGGTGGTGCTTACTGCTCCTCTTAGGAATTGCTCATAGTTTATGTTTGTGATAAATCTTACTGCTTTTATTAAAAGTTGCTTGTAGTCTCAGTTTTTGATAGGTCTTATTGTTTATATTAGAAGTTGTCTGTTTTGATTTAGGATTTGCTACTTCACTTAGAAGCTTCCCTAATAAATTGGTTAAAATAGGTCTTATTACTTCCATTGAAAGTTGCCTGTTAATTTTGATTTGGAATAGGTTTTACTACTTCGATTAGAAGTGGTTTGTAGATTTGATTTAGTTTGAACTTAGGAATAGTTACTTTGATTTCACTTTCCTCTTAATTAATTTGAATTGACGTGAGTAAAAAATTAAGTCAAATTTGAATTAATTAGCCAATTTTGATAAAATTGAACCATCACAAATCAAATATTGAATTGAAATTAATTTGAGCCAACTCAAGTGAAAAATTGAATCAACCATCACAAACATAAAAACAATGTTACCGAAGAAGATCGAAGAAGCACCATCTATCCAATTAATTAACTTGAATTGTATGTCTTTGATAGCGACCTTAATAGTGATGTTGATTTGTAAGATAGAACATATACATATGAAAAGTTTGACGTCATGGGTCTCATATGCGAACATGTGTTAACAGCAACTCAAGATCGAGGTGCCGATAATTATAGCTTTTGTTCAAAGTTTCATACACAAGAAGCATGGTTAGTTGCAAATTTTGAAAATATATATGCAAAGAAAATAGAAGATACATGAGAGATTCCAAATGAAATAAAGGGTGTTGTTGTGTTACACCCATTCGTGAAGCATAAAAGTGGTCATCCAAAGAAAATAAGGACTTTAAAGGAGGAGAAAGATATGGTCCAACGTACCTATATCTGCCGTAGAATTAGAGGCCATAATCGATTTATCTATAAATCCAAAAGCCCACCACCTTTATAGCAAATTATTTTCTTGGAGCAATTGTAATTCTAGTACCAATGTCATTGAATGATTGTGCGGTGATGTAATACTTGTTATTTAAATGTGTTATAGATAATGGTTGATTCTCTATTGTAGCTAAATTTATTGCATTATGCCTATTGAGATCCCTACCTCCTGCATTAATCTTATAGCCTGGTCTTTTGAAAATATTAGATCACATTATGTTGTATCTACCATGTTTGAACCTTCTTTGAACATATCCAAGCCTTTGAACCTATTCAAACTCTGTTCAAAGAGATTTTCAAATCGGCCTTTGAATGACTCGGGCAAGGTTCAAACAAGTCTCATAATTTTTTTAAATATGGTTACAACATTATTCAAAGTTTGTACAACACTTTTTCAAATCATAGTTGGTCATTGCTGACTTAAATAAGTACTCAATGCTAGAAAATGAGTGTTATAATCAGAAATAAAGCGTCAAATATATTTCCTCAATAAATGAAACAACGAGTATATATCTACAATTTTGGGCTTTATAGGACTTATAAACTCAATTTTCTATTTTTATAAAAGAGTGAAACAATTTCTACTTCTGAATTAATATCCACAACTTTTCTACGTTCAAAGGGCATTATAAGAATGGTAAAACTTTATGAATAAATTACACATGGGGAGGATGTTGATGATTAGAGGCATGTTTTAACAGTTTTATAAAATAATTAAAATGATTTCTAACTAGGATAATAGAAATCAAGAATATGCCAACTGTGAGGACAAACAAAGTCACATATTTATTCAAATCTTATTTTCTAGATGGAAGAGTCAACAAAATGTGGTCAAATCATGACGTATAGAATTATATTAGATCAGCAATTATTTCCATTGTGAAAGATAAGAAATAGATGCATCATCTAATTGCATTTGCCATAAAAAGATGAGCAATTCACACCAAAAAACTCAAAATTTAAAATTACTACAAAAATAAAAAAGCAAGAATAACGAGAAATGGGTGTTATAAAAGGAATAAAATGATAAATAAAAGCAGATACCTTCTCATCAAACTCCGCTTGAGCCATTTCTTCAGCTAAAAGAATCAATTCCTCTTCTGCTTTTTTCACTTTATGTAATATACCGGATGCCCTTAACTTCTCCTCTCTAAGAGCATGCCACCTCATCTGTATGTTAGATAAATCATCACTCAAGAATCTCTGCTCTTCTCTCAAATTTTCTACTTCAGAACTCAAGGCATCCCTGGTCACATAAAGTTTTACTAAAATTTGCAATGATGGAAGAAGGTACATATGCCATATTATGTAAAAAGACATTTCATCACTATTTATTTAGTCTCATTCTTTAAAACAATAAAAGGGAAACTGCCAATTTTAGATATTGGAACCACGAGATAGATGATTCTACAATGACTTGTAACAAACGTACAAGAGTACAAATACAGGATAAAGCCTCCACTGTGCATGTATTATATCTGCCATAGCAAGCTGACTAGCAAGATGATGTTGTAATTAAATTTGATGCCAAGGACAAAATTATTTCCTTGTTTACACTTGTGCGTGATAGAAGAGTAGAAAGATGCCTAAAATTAGCAAGCAATTCCTTCCTCAAAATCATGATATTAGACTGATGAGGACATCGAAGACCAACGGCTATGATTGCGTCTATTTATTTTGATGTATTTTATTTGTTATTTGTACTTTTCCATTTCTACCCTCACTTAAGGGCTTTGTTTTATGTTTGCCCTAGGGGCAATTGTGTCTTTTATTTTCTTTCATGTATTTGGCTATTTAAGCCCTCCCCTTCCTCTTGGAAAGGGATGATGATTATTGACAAATGAAAATTTCTACTTTGATCTCTTTGTGAGTTCTACATTTCATGTTCTCTTTGTGAGTGCAATCCTCCTCGATCTCTTAGTGAGTTCGTTGGAGAAGCTAGATCTCTTTGTGAGTTCTAGGTTTTTCTTGTTCTTCTATTTTTCTTTATTTCTCTTGATCTCATCATCATCACGAAGGTTTGGGTGGAAGCAATTGTGGAAGATTGGAATTCACTCTTTGAATCCCCAGATTTTTCCCTACCTCTTCCCCTCCCTTGCTCTTTGCCGCCGCCCCCTCCCTGGATTGCCCAGGTCGTCGGCCTGCAGCCCAGCAGCCCGCCGACCAACAGCCGCCGGCCAGCCCACCAGCCCGTCGACTTCCCCCTTGTCGCCGCCTTCCCCCTTGAACCCTGGATTCAAATTTTAGCTTTCATGAAGCCCATTACTACCTTCCTAATTTAGTTCCTTGATTTGAGGTCTCCAAATTAATTAGATTTCAATTTGAATTTGAAATTCAGTCCAGCATTCTGGGAAGTCAAAACTGATGTCAAATCCCTCATAGTGGCTATCCAGTCACCCCTAGTGCTGTCCAGCAAGCCCAGCAGTTTCCTGCTGTTGTCTCGACGTCCAGAAGACCTCCAATCGCCGACCAGAAGGTTCCCAAGCCCTGAAAGTTGCTGCCCACTCTCTAAAGCACCTAAATGATCACCTCGGGGCCTCGAATCTACTTCCATTGGGTAAACTCTTCCCCTGGATCTTTTATCTTCATAGTGACTTTCAATTGTGGTCTAGTAAATTCATGACGATCATGTTAATGCTTCTCTGCTAAAACCTAGTAATTAGAAGAGTTGTGTGAGGGATCTTTCATAGACTAATCTTATTGTTAGTATTGGAATTAACTGTTGGAACAATCCATGTATGCAAAGTAAGATTTATTTGACTATTTAATGATCTCAACCTCTATGCATGAGAGATAACCTAAGCTAGGTACCACTTTAATATTTATTTTATCGTTCAATTCCGTATAAGATCTTGCTTATTATTGCCTCTAAATCTAAACGTGCAAACTTCATTAAGAAAATCATTTTCGCATGGGATTGTTTCACATCATAGACTTTGACATAATTCATAAATGATCTGGTCTAGAAATGAATAGGTTTGTTCATTAAACATTTTTTAATGCTCGAGTCCAAAACTAAACTTTCCTTGCATGCATCTACGTGTGTGGATAGGCGAGCAGTATGGAAGCCCAAATTAGCATGCAGTTCCTTCTTAAAAATCATGAGAATAAACTATGATATTATTTTTAATTGATCATGCCTTAGAGATGAATGTAATTTCTGATTAAAGTTTTTGGTTCCTATTTTCCATTAGATAATCTTCAAGGGTATTAAAACTGGAGTTACCCAATAACAAGGGATAGATTCCCGACAATTTTTATATAAAATAGATTTAGCACCTCAAACAACACACAATAAGAATGAATGAAATTTGAGCATTAATAATGCAAACCCAAAATGGGATAATGCTATACGGTTGATGATGATGATGTACAATGTGGGATCCTAGCATGAAATTATCATTAACAAATATTTCAGCAATAATCCAGTCTTGGCAAGAGATTTTAAAGCCAATTGTTTCCTTCTCTTTCTTTTCTTTTTCTTTTCCATTTTAGTCAAAAACAGAAACCTTCTGAAACATTTAGTGAGTAAAGAGTATTTAAAAAGTAACTCAAAGCATTAACAAAAGTATGGGTTCGACAAGAACGTAAACCTACAGCACATCAACTACAATTATGAATAGCACACACCACAATGTCGCAAATTGGCATACCAAACTGAAAAAAACAGCAAAGGATTGTCTATAAACCACACCATCCATCTAGTAACCAATTATTTTTATCATCTAAAATAATCTAGTAACCAATTATTTTTATTATCTAAAATAAAATTATTATTCATTTTCTATTCTTGCTAACTTCAGATAACTTGTAATAGAAAACTATAAAATCAGAAGGCAAATCACCTTTTGCTTTGCAATGCATTCAACTGTGATTGAATTTCCTCCACAGATTTCACTCCTTGCCCTCGAGCATCAAGTTTATACTCCAAATCCTCAATTTGAGGTTTCAAATTCTGAATTTCAAGAAATAACCTTTCAAACAATTCTGCAGGTTGCACCAAAATTTCCACAGTATCCTTCTCAGCCTTGATATGAGCCATAACGCCAAGGAGCTGCAAGTAAGATGTTAAGTAGTAAGAACGAAAATTGTTAGCCTAGATTAATGTTGTAACCAAGGCATCAATAGACATTATGCGGAAGCGTCACAAAGATCCAAAATAACATGCCACAAAATAAAACAAAAAAGAAAGAGAAAACAACTACAAACAGATATTATGATGTAAAACCCGAAAACGAAAATTGTAGGTCGTCGCATGCATTTCGATGCGTCGCGACGAAACTTAAGTGAAAAATTTAAAGTTAACAGAATTTGACGAAAATAATTTTATAAAATTCTACGCAAAATTCTGATCAATTTGGTATATAGAACTTGTATCCATTTTCGCTTAGATTAAGAGATAAAAATTATGGAAGTTTCTAAATACCAAAACTACCCCTAATATGTATTAATGTGATAGGAAATACTTGAGTTCGCAAGTAATTCCTAGCCAAATCGGAAGCGAGACAGCAGAAAATATGCTGTTTATAGAGTTGGACAGCAGGTTATCACAGAAAAACAGCATAAATTATAGAGAAAACGGAGAGAAAACTCAAAGAAAAGCTTGTATTCCACTAGTCGATGAATAAAATAGCAAGATACAATTGATCCTCAATTCGAGAGGAGGATCGATCTCTCCCAAATCTCTAGACGCCGCTAGAGCCCAAAGAAGACCTAAATCTAAGAGATCTCAAAGTTCTGTCAAATTCAAGATGCCCAAATCCTAGGAAAAACAACTATTTAATGCATACAAATCAAAAGGAAATCCCTAAGCAGCCCCTACATTCAAATTTCTCTCTCAAAACGCTAAAAAACACTTCCTAAAATGCACTAATGGGCTGGTTGGGCCGCTCGATCTCCGCAAGAGAAGGAGATCTATCGCTCTTTGCGACTTGCCGGCCCTGTAAAGACCGACTGGACCGGTCCAACAGACCGGTCTAACAATACTCCCCTCCCCAAAATCCACCTTGTCCTCAAGATGGAGATATGCTCGTGTTTCGGTGGAGGTGGCCATCCTTGAGGTGACTGAAAATCCTTACTGTATTGCTGAACCAAGGGCCGCACAAAAAGAGAAACATCCCCTCCCTCCTCCATCTTGATCACATTCAGCTTGTGTAGTCCCACCAGATAGTCTTCCCCCACCTCTTGCATATCTCAAACCATGGTCTAAAGTGATGTCATGGCTTTGGAGTTTGGATAGCCCTGCATCTCCCCTTATAACCACCTTTCTCCCATCCACCATTAATTCCATCGTAAGTGCTCCCCAATTGTCCTTACTTTCCCCCTAGGTTTGCAACCACTTCATCCCCAGGATGACATCAGTGCTTCCTAACTCTAGTGGGAGAAAGTCCTCCCTTACTTGAATTCCCTGGATGGTCAACACCACTCCTTTACAGATTTCCTTACCTTTCTCCACCTTCCCAGTACCCATCATCACCCCATAACAACCTGTGTCCACCAATTTTACTCCCAGTTGGTTGACGACCTGAGTGGAAATGAAATTGTGGGTAGCCCACTATCAATTAGCACCATCACGTCACGACCAACTATCTCTCCTTTCACTTTCATAATATGACTCGGATTGAATCCCACTACAGAGTTCAGAGAGACATCTGCCACATCCAGGTACAACTTCTCCTCCTCTCCAGATCTGCTCTCACCTCCCTCCTCATCTTCCTTGTCTTCACAGACAAGGAGAACCTGAAGAGTTCGGTCCTTGCACCTATGCCCTGGCATGTACTTCTCATCACATCTGAAATACAACCCCTTTGTCCTCTTATCCTGCATCTCCTTCTCTGTCAGCCTCTTGAAATTTTCCCCACTCTCTCCTCCTACTGGCTTCTCCCGGTTGGTCTCATTATAGTTGCCTGATGCAGGCCCCTTGGGTGCTAGAAGAGTGGCCGTCGTCCTGTAAGAGCCTCCTGAGCAGTTTCCTCGAGCCCCTCTTTCTGCTTTCTTCTGATCATATACCAACTGCGTCAGCTCCATAACCTTTTCGAGGTTTCTCGGCTCCAGTACCCTGACTGCTGTTCGGATCTCTGGTTTCAACCCCTTCATGAAGTTCCCTTCTAAGGCTGACTCTGAAATGTGATCCAATCTGCTAACCAAGTACTCAAACTGATCCCGATAATCTGCCACAGTCCCTTCTTGAGTCAAGGCAAAGAATTGCTCATAGAAGTCTCCTCCCCGTCGGTTCAGAAACGCTCTAATAAGCAATCCTTGAACTCTCTCCAGCTTCGGATGGGTTCCCTCCTATCACGCCACTGATACCATGCCAAAGCTTTCCCTTCCAGACACAGACCCGTTGCTGTCAATTTTTCATCCTCTGTCAATCCGTTGACAGCGAAGTAACGCTCCACTTTGTAGATCAACCAATGGCCATCTTTGCCCTCAAAGACCTCCCATTCCTCGAAGAGGAAGAGTCCCCCAAGTGTCCCGATCATCCCTCCGACGATTATATTCGAATCCCTCTTCATATTCACTTCTTCTTCCTTCAAAATCATCACCTCGACGCTGAATTCCTTCAGATTCAGCACCTTGACGATGACGTTCATCCCTTCTTTCTTCAAAAACAACACCTTGACACTGAATCATTTCGAATTCAGCACCTTGGCGATGAATTTCTTCCCTCCCCCTTCGAATTAAGCACCTCGACGCTGGATTCTTTCAAATTCAGCACCTCGGGGATTGAATTCTTCCCTCCTTCTGACCAAATCAACCTCCCGTTGGTCGTATCCCCTGCTCATCTCCTCTCTAGAAAGCGATTCTAGAGGGGGCATGTCGTTTTCCTGCACCTTGGCGATGAATTTCTTCCCTCCCCCTTCGAATTAAGCACCTCGACGCTGGATTCTTTCAAATTCAGCACCTCGGGGATTGAATTCTTCCCTCCTTCTGACCAAATCAACCTCCCGTTGGTCGTATCCCCTGCTCATCTCCTCTCTAGAAAGCGATTCTAGAGGGGGCATGTCGTTTTCCTCCTCCAAGATCTCCACCTCCGAATTTCTCCTCCCCCTTAAGGGTTTCGGATTTCCTCCCATGCCAAGGCCGTCGGTAGTCTCCCTTACTTCTGATGTCGCCGGATTGGTCTTCATTTCAAGTAGTTTCTTCATCATTTCCTCCATCGCGGTGAACTTCCCCTCCAACCTTTCATTGTTGGAGGTGATTTGATTTTGAAAGTTGAGGAATCTTTCCTCCAAATTGGCTTTCAATTGGCCGACTTCGCCTTCCAAGACGTCAACCTTCTTTCTGGTCATCTTTCATCCCAACGGATCTCAAAAAAATCACTTCCAAAAGCCAAAAGCTCGCTGAAAAATCAGGATTTCAGCTGCCTAAGGTCCCAAAAATGATGCTCTGATACCAATTTGATAGGAAATACTTGAGTTTGCAAGTAATTCCTAGCCAAATCGGAAGCGAGACAGCAGAAAATATGTTGTTTATAGAGTTGGACAGCAGGTTATCACAGAAAAACAGCATAAATTATAGAGAAAACGGAGAGAAAACTCAAAGAAAAGCTTGTATTCCACTAGTCGATGAATAAAATAGCAAGATACAATTGATCCTCAATTCGAGAGGAGGATCGATCTCTCCCAAATCTCTAGACGCCGCTAGAGCCCAAAGAAAACCTAAATCTAAGAAATCTCAAATTTCAGCCAAATTCAAGATGCCCTAACCTAGAAAAACCAACTATTTAAAGCATACAAAACAAAAGGACCCATTATCAATTAGCACCACCACGTCACGGCCAACTATCTCTCCTTTCATTTTCATAATATGACTCGGATTGAATCCCACTACAGAGTTCAGAGAGACATCTGCCACATCCAGGTGCAACTTCTCCTCCTCTCCAGATCTGCTCCCACCCCCCTTCTCGTCTTCCTTGTCTTCACAGTCAAGGAGAACCTGAAGAGTTCGGTCCTTGCACCTATGTCATGGCATGTACTTCTCATCACATCTAAAACACAACC